AATGCCCCGGAAAATGTTTGTTCGATTTTTCGAACATTGGTCATTAGCCCGGGATTCTTAATTATCTCCAAATCCACCCTGGGCTTCCCTAAGTACCTCCTGAACATAGGCCCAGAGGACTTACACATTTTGAAAAATAATGTTCAACACTTGCTTTTTGAGTATATGTCTGTTATTCTTGCCTATCTCTAGGTCGAGATATGAATAGGGATGGCCTTTGTTCGAAAAATCGAACGCTGGTAGAAAATGGGTTAAACACACAATGGCTTTGTTCCACCGAGTGCACAAATTTGTTCTACTCATTGAACATGTCTGTAGATACTTAATCTCGCTTTGTCATTCAACAACAAGAAAAACATTCGCAAAGAATTTTTGAGCAAAGAAGAAAAAGTTCATATTCTTTCTCGGTATTTTTTTTCAAACGTTTCCAAAATATGAATAATGTTTTAAAAAATGGGTTTTCATAGTGTATTAATACTATGTATATTTTTTGAAATATGTACTCATGTACTTATGCATACTTTTAGCGCGTTCCATAACGAATGACAACCGCGTAGTCGATCCGTTGTAGTTTGACAGTTCGGTTGCATCGCTCTGGCTTTATTTCCAGAATGGCTTCATTTTCTCGATATTAAGTTTCAAGTTCCGAGCATTGTTTGAAAAATAAAAGAAGAACAAATTAGCTTGGTCATTTCATAGAATTTCCGACATTTGATGGCTGCAACAATGCATTAATTTAATTCCGTGAACCAAATTTACAAGCATTTTATGCAAAAATAACAATGATGATCAAGTGATTTTTATCCGCATACCCTGTCTCCTCCCCTCTCCAAATTCGGGTACGTTCGACGATATGCAGGCAGGTGTTGGTTGTGTATTACAATGTTTGAAATGCACTCGAATCGTTGCAGTTCGTTGTAAGCTGCCAATATCCAATTGAAATTTATGTGCATGAAATTATACGCGTCATTAAATCCCAAACAGATGCCCATGTTGTATAAAGCATCAACAGTGAGTTTGAAATCTGTTTATTGCGAGCGTGTAAAATGTAAATGATGGCAAATAATATGTGGTGCAATATAAATTCCACGCGTATATGGGCATATACGTGAGTGTTCACTGTTCATTCTGCTGTATTGGACAATGCAAATTTATTAGCTTTTCGTTTGTAACATGTACAGGCTACATGAATGTGGCAGCGATAGAAAAATGAAATTCTAATTACGGGCTATTGTTCGAAATTTATAATGCAATCTAATGAAATCTCGTGTGTTGCTGTTGTTTCTCAATTGGTTTTTGTTTCAGGTATATATTTTCGTTGGCGCTGGCCGATTTGCTTGTGATCATAATATGTGTGCCATTGGCATCGCTAGTATATACACTTGAGTCATGGCCGTGGGGTTCAGCGTTGTGTCGCATCACGGAATGTGCTAAGGACATATCAATCGGTGTATCGGTATTCACACTAACCGCACTATCAGCCGAACGTTATTGTGCCATTGTGAATCCATTGCGGAAGCTACAGGTATAACAAAGAGAACATACTTTCATTCATTTATAACACTTTAACCGGACGCGAACGGATATAAAGCGTTTCAAGGAAAGTGCTGCTGTTGTCGCTGCTGCTGCTATTGGCCGGTCAATGGCTCACACACGTGCCAATGATATTTGAATTAGTTGCCATCATTTGGGATGCGTTATTGCACGCTCACGCGCACATTAAACGTTTTTATTCCATTTGATGACATAAGAATTAAGAAGAAAAAAACCGGCAGCACCAGCATTTTTCATGGAACGAATAAGATTTGTGGTGGTTGTCGGTTTTTCCTTGTTATTTATCGCCTTGGATTTTATTCATATTCATTTGATTTTTTTGTTCACAGACCAAGCCATTGACCGTCATAACGGCACTTTTCATTTGGCTATTAGCTATAATTTGTGCAACACCATCCGCCATCATGTCTGAAGCAGTCACCGTTATACTCAACAATACCACTAATCAAACCATCATCACATGCACGCCATTCGGACCAGAAGGACCCACGTCCAGGACATATGCTCGGTAAGTAGACAATATCTTCGTCCCTCTTTCTTTCTCTCTCTCTCTCCCTCTCTATGTGTGACGCAGACTGTGTTTTCATTGATCTTGATTAATTTTCGAAAATCCATCGGACGAAAGAAAAACAATTACCAACTTGGACTTTTTCCCATCATTTGACTCAAGAAACAACCTTTTTTCAGTAGAGTGCACTCAGAGATGACTAAGCGCACGCTCAGTAGCGTATTCAGCAACTCAACTGAGAGTCGTTTTCTGCTCTGTGCGTTTACACTCACTTCGTTATGAGTTTATGTGCGCACTCTGACTTTGTTGTTAAGAAATGCGTGCGCACTCTAACTCTGTTGCCTATTATGGTTTATACACACATATAAAGAGTTGAGTGTGTATTGTCTTATTCTTTTCTTTGTGTTTCTTTCTTTGTATATCCTCTCTATTGTTTCTTCGTTGTGTACGAGTGCGGTGTAGCGCACTCCGTTGGTGCGCTTATACTCTCTTCATGGAGTGGGTTTGTTTGTGCTGCAGCG